CAGCTCGTCGTCCTCAACCACAGCGTACAGCTTGCCTTCTTCCGCTTTCGTTCTTTCTCTCACACGCTGCCGGGACACACAGAAACTTGCGGGTTGCGGAAGGCGAGTCAGTATGGAGTAAGTAAGTCAAAGTGTGCGACCGCGCGGCCGGCGGCGCGCGCTCTCTCGCCTCGGACTCCGCACGCCGGGGCGGAGACGCGCAAACGAGCGGTGGTCTCTGTGTGCCACACACCAGTCAGCGCACGCCGTCTGCTGCACCCCTCGCTCAGAGCACAGTACGATCGTGCACTGCCCTTTCCTCTCGGCAAAGAGATGCGCGAGCCAACGACACGGCGAAGAGCGCCAAACCGGAACGCAACGTGCCAAGCCATGGTAAACCCGAGAACTGTCGCAACGCTTGCTTCAAACCACCGGAGGGACCGAGCGGGCGGGCCCAACGATCTCGAACGGCTCCGATCCGCCGCAAGCGGCGGGAGAGGGGGTGGCGAAGATCGAGCGACCAACGCCTTGCTTTGCAGAAAGCTCCGTTGATGGCTCCAGAGGACGCTTCGTCCCCGCCGCCGGGGTGGAGGCGAGGCCATCTGGCGGCGAGCGGGCAGCACTGGGGATGAGCGTCGGCGGGTTCGAGCGCTCGGACGCAGGCGGGTCCTTGCTGGCTGGCGTGCACGGTTCGACTGCAGCCGGCGCCTCAGGCTCGGCCCGGCGGATGGGGAGCGGGGAATCGCCGATGCGGGGCGTGCCCTGCTTTGCCGGGCTGCGATCGTCGAGCGTTCCAATGTCGCCGGCCATCTCCGACGCCTCTGTGGATGTCGCGCGGCCGTCCACCTCGGGAGGCTGCTCCGGCGCGCCCAGCCCCTCTTCGACGTCGTGCGCCGATCCGAGAGAGGACATGTGGCGGGTTCCATTGAAGCAGAGCGTGAGGCTCTTGAAGCGCTCCAGGTAGCGCTCTCGCTCACGCTGAACGTGCTCGAGCTGCTCTTGAGCCTCGATGATTTGCGCGTCGAGCTCCTTCGCACGGGCCTGCACGGGCACCAGCGCGGCGCAGACGTCGCGGTCGACCTTGGCGAAGAGGCGGTTCATGCCGGCCACCGCCTCGTCCCGGGCCGCCGCGATGGCGCCGTTTTCGATCTGCATCTTTCTCTTTAACTCCTGGCTATCACTGCGGCGCAGCACGGCGGCGCTTCTTAAAAAAAAACTAATCAGCCGGACGTGCGGTTGCTGACTGCACTCCAAGTGCTCCAAGTGCTTCCGACACCTGGAGAATTCAAACCTCTCAATCTCTCGCCCCCGCGCAAAGGCTCGCGGTGCGCAAGCCTCTCTGCGATGATCCATGTCGCAACGGCGGAGCCTAGGTAGCGGCGAGCCTCGTTGCTGTGTGTGTGGACTTTGCTGAGAAATCGCGGAGCGCCCTCGGGGGCGCGTCACTGACAATAGAAGAGAAGAACTCTCTCTCTCTGACGATCCATCTTGCGCCGATCCTGTCCAGAACGTGCCTCGAGGCGCGCGCATCACGGAGGGTCGGCAAAGTCGCCGTCGTCCTGCTCGCCGTCGTCTCCCGGCGCCAGCATTGCGTCATCGAACTGCGCGCCGAAGAGCTCGCTCGCCCTCTCTCGCAGCAGGGGCTCGTAGAGGGAGATCCTCTCCGCGACCCGCAGCTTGACGAGCGCCGACGCTGGGTCGGGCACGTGCGAGATCACGAAGCTCCAGAAGACGCGTGCCGCAAGCCCACACATCTCATCGGTGCTTCCGGCGCCGTTCCTCGCACGCTCCACCAGCATCGCCACTGCGTCCGGGTCGCAGAGCGATGGCGGCAGCTCTGCGTCGGGCTCGCCCGTGAAGAGGGCGACGACACGGAACGCGACACGCCGTGTCTCGCGGTCGCGGTCCCGCGCCTGAGGGTAAGGTGCAGCTTCTCCATTATGAGAGGATTACGCTATGGGCCCATCCCTCTCGCATCATCTCTCCCGCGCCTTGACGAGCGCCATCTTGAGCACCTCCTCGGGAGGGAGGTGGGGAGCGACGGCGAGCAGCAGCCGCGTCGCGGCGAGGCGAACCTTGCCGACTGCGTCGTACATGCAGGCGCCCACCGCGGCGTTCATCACCGACCCTCCGAGCGCGGCGAGGGCCTTCCTCCAGCCACCCTGCTGCTGCGCGTCTTGCTCGCCCTCGGGAGCCGCCGCCGCCGCGAACTCCTCCCAGAGCGCGTGCAGCAGCCGGATGGAGCCGAGCCGGGAAGAGCTGTCGAACTCCTCCTCGAGCCGCTGCCTCGCGGCCGCGCAGACTGGCTGCGAGACCTCCTGAAGCCGCCACGCCATCTCGACGCGGCTGCTTTCAGAGGCGCCGGAGGGAACTGTGGCCATGCGCACCATCTTGGGGACCAGCCGGGCCTCGCCGCCGCTCGCCGAGCCTCGCCGCGTCAGCTCGGCCGCACACGAGAGGAGCGTCGCGCGGAGGCTCGCCCCGCCATGCGCGTCCGGGCCGGCGTGCACGGGAGGAGAAAGGGCAGCGCCCAAGAGCCTCTCGATGCCGGCACGCTGCAGTCGCTGCTCGACGGAGAGCGACTCCTCAAGGCAGAGGGCCGCGAAGCCAGCGAGGAAGGAGCCGAGCGCCGAGCGAAGGCCAGAGTTGAAGCCTGCGCCGCCGTCAGAGTTGCAGGCGAGTCGCGCGAGGGCACTGACCGCTACGCCGAGGGTCGCCTCGTCCGCCCGCTCGTACGCGCGCTGCCAGCCCTCGAGGACGGCCTTTGCGGCGATGAAGTCGCGGGCGGAGGGTGGGAATCGGGGAGGAGAGGGAAGGACATCGTTTTTTTTTCACAGACCATGTTTTTGACAAAAATACGTCCATGGCGCTTTGCGCTGGTCTATGAGAGGTTGAGGTGCGAGCCCTGGAGGCCCTGGGGATGGGGGAGACTACCCGCGGGCCTAGAAGGCCCGCGCGCAGGGGGGTGGGACATTGAGATTGAAGGCGGAGGTGGAGGCGGCGGAGGCTCGGCGAGCACGGCTGGGAGCGGCAGAGGATTCAGGATCGGTGCAAGCACTGATCTGAGAAGAGGGGTGGCTTTGGTTGGTCACGATCGGGACGGATGACACGTCTGATGCAGACATGCGATTCACATAAACGCACAACCCCAGGCCCCGAAATCGCACAGTGACAGTCTCAGTCAGACATGCAACACGGGGTCCCAGGGTGCAGGGAAGGCAAGAGCAAAAACCTTACGCTGTTCACGCTCCTGCCAGCGATCCCCGATCCGGAGAAGTGCTGCACAACAACAGAGTACATCGTCTCAAGGACGATGTGGCCAAGCGCTGGTAGCGTGGCTTCACCTCACACCGCCTAGTCTCACTGCTTTCCCGCCACCCGCAGTCGCCAAGCATCAAGCGCGGAGTGTTGTGCGTTCGCGCCGTGGCCCCGTGCACACACTCTCTGTCACTGATATCATACTATAACTTTACACGGCGTACCACTACTCTAGCCAGCGGCCAGCACGGGTGACTGAGAGCTCTCCCCAGCACGCAGCAGGGCCACGTGTGCAGTGAGCTGTGAGGGCGAGTTTCCGTGTCCACATCGGTCGACGTAGTACTGTAAACTAGCTACGAGCCACCAGCGCCACGCCCCTCGTCCCGTGGCCTCCCACGCCCACCCCGCCCACCCCGCCCACCCCGCCCACCCCGCCCGCCCCGCCCGCCCCGCCCACCGCGTCCCCCTCGCCCACCGACCGCCTCCGTGCCGCCCACGGGCTGAGCCTGGGGCACGGTGCGCGAGGGCGGCTGGTGGACAAACGTCGCCTGCTCCGCCACCAGCCGCCCAGTTGCGGCGATGGGCAGCGCCGGCTGGCGGCAGGCCGGGCAGTTGCTGTCGCGCTCCAGCACGCGCGGCGCACATGTCTCGCAGTACAGCGCGTGGCCGCACGCGAAGCGGACCGAGCGCGGCGCGTCCCAGCAGAGGTCACACAAGCGCTCCTCGGCCCCAGCCGTCTCCTCCACCTCCCCCGCCGCTTCGACTAGCGCCTCCAGCCGCGGCAGCGCCTCTGCGAGCGGCATCCGCTTTCTCTTCCGCTCGTATGCCAGCCCAACCACGAGCCGCATCAGCTCCGCGGCCTGCGCCGCCGACCAGCCCGCGTCGGCCGCCGCGATGCTCTCCGCCGTGTCGGGCTCCTCAAGCGCATCGTCGCACGCGTTGAGCAAGCCGAGAGCGCCGCGGCCGGTCAGGGCGACGAGCAGCGTGATGCCGAGCGCAAAGCCATCGGTGAGCTGCGAAGCCTGACCGTCGTGCGTTATGATCGAGTCCATGTAGCCAGGCTTGCCAAAGATACGCTGCGTCGACAGGTGCGAGACCTGCTGGCTGCCGCCGGCCGTCGCCTCTGCCGCGCGCGCGAGGCCCACGTCGGCGAGGTAGCCGTTGCCGCGCTCGTCGAGCAGGATGTTGCCCGCCGAGACGTCGCGGTGCAGGATCATGGGCGAGAGCGTGTGCAAGTAGTGCAGCGCTCTCGCGGCGTCGCGCAGCACGCGGAGCCGTGCGGCGGAGGAGAGCGGCGGAGGCGTCTCGAAGCCGAGCATGCGGAGCCGCTGCAGTGCGGCTGGAGCGCGGTAGAGGCGGTCCTCGAGGCTGCCGCCGCGGCAGAGGGGGTAGACGAGGCACGCTCTCGCCGGCGCCAAGCAGACGCCGAGCAGAGGGAGCAGGGACCGGTGGCACGCCGCGCTGAGCGTGCGCACCTCGCTCTGCAGCTCGGCGAGGCCTTGGGCGCCGACACCGACCAGCGCCGTCTTGACGGCGAACCCGCAAGCGACGCGCGGAAGCGACGGCAGCGCGTCGCAACGGTAGACACGTCCGAAGCCTCCCTCGCCCACCTTGCGCGCCTCGGCAAAGCCGTCGGTCGCCGCGATGAGCTCGTCGAGAGGGACGGCGGCGGGCGGCGCGGCGGCGGCGGCGAGGGCGGCGACACTCGCCGCCGCCGCCGCTGCCGCCGCTGCCGCTGCCGCTGCCGCCGCCTCTTGAGCCTCCGCCGCCGCCACGGCCACCATTGCCGCCTCTACAGCCGCCGCCTCCGCCGCTGCCTCCGCCGCCGCCACCTCCGCCGCCTCCGCCCTCATCCTCGCCTCCTCCCTCTCCCTTGCCGCCTCCTCCCTTGCCCTCGCCTCTGCCTCCTCCCTTGCGCGCGACGCCGCCTCCGCCTCCTCCGCCGCCCGCGCCGCCGCAGCCTCTGCTACCACCCGATCCGCTTCCTCCGCCACTCGCGCCGCCGCAGCCGCCCGCGCCTCCTCCGCCTGCTCCGCCGCCCGCTCCGCCGCCCGCGCTGCCGCCGCCGCCGCCTTCTCCTTCTTCTGCCGCTGCCGCTTCAGCGCTCTGGCCTCGCGGGTCTTTCGCTCCGCCAGCTCGTCGCGCAGCCGCCGCGCCGCCCGCAGCGCCTCCGAGCCGTCGGCGGCTTCCGGTGTTTGCGTTGATCGCCGCCCTGAGCGCCTCCG